CAGAGTTTTTAAAAATCAGTTTGCACCCCAAACTCACCTTTCGACACCACTGATCTCGCGAACCGTTAAAATAACAAAACATATAGATATAAAAAATGGGACATGTTTTGTTTTTTTTTAACCAAAAGACTAATTTTCCAGATTTCGCTACGTCATAAACATTCACATAGAATTTAAAACATGTAGATTTTGATATACTACTTTGTAAATTTATGGCGTAGTTACAGTGTTGATTTCCAGAAGGCCTTCCTCTTCAAAATTCGTGGAGTGCATTGGAAAATGTTTTTCCAAAATAAAAAATACATTTATCAGAAAAACCATTTCCATATCACAAATTCCAAAGTGAAGTGTTATTTTAACTTTGCGTTTTCCAGTTATTTAAAAGAGGATCGCCCAGTTGGTCCCGCATTTGATTAGCCAATTGCATAGGAGCGACTGAAAGTAGGAGTCAAGGAAAAACTTTACAGGCAAATAGACGAGACAACCAAGCTCCGGACTGAATCATTCCTAAATTGGATGAAACCCATGTTTTTAATTATAGTTTTTCGAGCCGGACAACGAACTGAAATGTGGCAAGGTACAGGCCACACAAAGTCTTGACGTGGCAGGAATATTAAAGATTGGTACATTCTATTAATTTAAAAAGGACTTGGCCCTCTGGGTTGTACTCAAAGGTTAGTGACTGGAATTTTTCACCGTAGGCCCGTTCCACTGCTGAATTTAAATCACTACGTTGAAAAGATATTCCTGGGTCCAGTTGCAATACTCCATTATATACGCACGAGAGCCTTTTCTTTTTAATAGGAACTACTAATTAAGATTTGCCTAAAATCCCATTATAAAGCCCTTTGGACACTCATCCATGTGACTTTTTTTAAAATACATTTATTTTCGCACGTTTGCCGTGCAAACACATGTAGGCTTGAAACGCTTTTTATACGTGAAAATGTTTAATAAAACATTTAATCGTGAATTTTTGTAGTTAAAAAGTTCGATAATTCAGTCAGGATCTATGCTAGTTATGGGCCTTGGTGAATTTCCGACATTTAATACCTTCAGTACTTGTATACTTCTTTTTTAATGTTTACAGTGGACTTTTTTAAGTTAACAGAGGTAAAATTCTAGACGTTTTATGCTCGTACAATTAAAAATGTGGGCATGTGTGAAGTTTTAAGTGAATTTCTTCAGTAGTTGTCCTGACGAACGTGCATGGTGAACCTTATATAGAAATTCAGTTAACCAAGAATTTGGTGTATATATCCATAGAAATCTAAATTTATGGGTCCTTGACAGTGGCCAAAACTTATTAAGCTTAAGTGGATTATCTTTATTATTTTTTTGATATATGAAGTAGCACGCTTAACATCATCAAAGTATTATGCCAATGTCAGAGTGAGTGCTATTCTTCGAATAGTCAGTTAAAAAAATAAACACAAAATATGTTAATTTAAGGCAATTTATTTTTTTCAATTAAGAATACAGAATATATATTTTGAAAATGGACATTAATGTTAATATCCAATCACTTTCACAATAAATTCCATGTACTTATTCATTCACGTTCACAATAAATTACATGTACTTATTTATTCACGTTCACAATAAATTCCATGTACTTATTCATTCACGTTCACAATAAATTCCATGTACTATCAGGCATATTTACATATATATCCCTGGTATACTATAAATCTCTTTTGATAGCTATAAACTTGCTTTTACCAGAAAGCTATGATCAAGATACAAATAATATATCTTAACCCTTTTGGATGCCAGACTTACCATTTGTCAACAAACTCCTCACAGTAATTACCTCCCTCGACAGATTGTGATTACTATACTGATAAGGGGAGATCACTGCGTAGGAGATTGCTGCCACAGCTCATGCAGTCAAAGATCAATTTTAGCATTTTGATCTTTAACTATTCCCTTAAATGAACAATGGACAGTTTCAAACTCAAGGCAGGACTTGTCCATTATACAAAGCAGGGTTAGGATTTAACTAACGCTGGCATCTTTTTAATCTCAAATAATGAAATATTCCCTCTCCTTCACATGCTCATAATGTACTTGACATATCATACACATATATGTTAGCATAAAGGAACAGGCAATCTCTTGTAACAATTATGTTAGCATAAAAGGAACAGGCGATCCCCTGGAATAGACTCCTATCATGCCCCTATGTCAATATAATGTACAGATATATACATGAACTACAAATACGGAATTAGCCTACTATATATATATATATATATATGAGCCTCTTCACAACAAAACCAACATAATGGGTTTGCGACCAGCATGGATCAAGACCAGCCTGCGCATCCGCGCAGTCTGATCAGGATCCATGCTGTTCGCTTTCAGTTTCTCTACTTGCTATAGGGTTTGTAAGCGAACAGCATGGATCCTATCCGCGCAGTCTGGTCTGGATCCATGCTGGTCGCAAACGCATGATGTTGGTTTTGTCGTGACGCGGCTCATATACTCCTGTATTAGACATCGGGATCTATTACAATATATAGTCAAACGAACATTTTAGAAAAACTCTGGCCGTGACCATCACATGAAGTTATCAGCAAGAGGACTATTATGGCCCTTTGTCGCTCATTCAAAGAAACATTGTTTAGAGGTGAGCTAAAAATAGATGCATTATTGCTCCTCAAGTCCATTAAACAAAGTCATAAATGAATTCCTTTGAATAAAGTGCTAAAATAAATTCCGAAAACACCGTGCATAGTAAATCAAACATTTAAGTTGAACATATAAGTCAAATAATTAATTACTTGTACATTTATCAATATATTTTTATTGATAGTTGTCATTTGTAAATAGCATTGAACTAAACTTAATACAAACATGAAAAAAGAAACAAAGAAATCACTTATTTATTCTAATGTGTTTTACTAATTATTGTAAAAAACACACTTTTGCTTCATCTGATACATATCAAATGAGAAATTGAAAATCTAAGTCTTAGCAAATATTGACCAAATCTGCCCATGACTTACTCTTACTTAAATGCATTCCACAACATAAAGATAAAAAAAATCTGTTAAAATTTTATAAATCTTTCAGTATTTGTCTGACAAATCCATTGTTCATAAAATTGAAATTCTTAATATACCGTTGGTTTTTTTAAAAAACTTAAACATCTTTTTCTACCTAGCTTGATCATGAAGAAAACTTAATAGCTAATTTGAACACCTCTCAAATGTATTAACTGGAATTTACCAATACTGGTGTCATATGAAAGAAAAAAAATGCCGTAATCCCTGTAGAGTTCAATCCCACAACTTTCAAGTTCAGAGCTCCAAGAGGTAGACATTAGGCTTATGCTCACCTAAGAGGGCTAGCAATGGACACAACTTGCCTCTGCCATAAACACATGCTAGCTTGAACACCTATGTAATCCATTCAATATTTAGCACTTTCATAAAATTTAGTACATGTACTTTTGTAAAATTTAGTACTTTTGTACCTAAATCTGTGACAACAATACAAATGGAAAGCAAGATAAAACCATTAAACAAATCCATTCAGGTAATGATTTCAAAAATTCATGAAAATATTTCTAATAAACATACAAAAAAAATTTTTTTGTTGAGAAGTTCATGTTTGTTGTATATTTTGTTCACATTTTGCTACCTTTATGACACATTACTGCCAGTTCAGTGCTACTTTTTGTCAGTTGTTAAACATCCAATATGCTCTAAATCCATGATTAAAACCATAACTAAACACAATGTTTGACATTTTTTAAGAATTAAAAAGTATATGGATTTCTGAGGCATAATGTGTCTTTAAGTAATATAACCTGATGAAGACAAATTTAGATAAAATGTTTTTTGTTGTTTTTTTTTAATTTCAAATATCATGGGCAGTAGTCATTGATAACAAGATGACATCTTACATTACATTTAACTAACACATATAAGTATAAATAATTACTAGGCTCAGCTTTATTACATAAAGTAACTTCTACTAAACAAAACTTAGTAGATTTTTTTTATCAAGGAAAAAGAACAACCTCTGCAAGAAATTGCAATATTGCGACATAAAAATTTGAGCTGCATCACAACAAAACCAACATAAAGGGTATGCGACCAGCATGGATCCAGACCAGTCTGTGCATCCGCGCAGTCTGATCAGGATCCATGCTGTTCCCTTACAAACCCTATAACAAGTAGTGAAACTGAAAGCTAAAAACATGGATCCTGATCCGCGCAGTCTGGTCTGGATCCATGCTGGTCACAAACCCATTATGTTGGTTTTGTCGTGACGTGGCTCAAATATATAACATAGCTCTTCCTTTATTACACACATATTTTCTCAACTAAATTTAACATTAAAATTACGTATGTAACATTCATACACTTTCTGGTAATTCAAACTTATTGATAAATAGAATATAAATAAATGAAAATGGCAAAATATCAGCACTTTTTTAAAATATTAAAGACCTTAAAGGGTATAAAGCTAGAACTGGAAACAGTATACCGTAAACATTTCAAAAACTATACAATCTTGTTATTTTCAAATTCTAAATTCATTCGTCATATCTCAAATTAGTTTTAACAAAGAGTGTTCCTTTGTTATCTAATGCATATGATTTAAATACGAAAACAAAATGATTTCTAACAATACACACAAATACTGTAGCATTCGGAAGCTTTCGCCAAAGTTTAACTAACATGCTACCTGCTTTTATTAGAAATAAACAAACATTACTCTTTCATTCCTTTGTTGGTATGCACGTTATCAGTATGTACAAATAGACTGAAAGTTACTGTTACTAGCATGGTTAATCACATGCTTAAAACAGGCCATTATTTTTTTTCTTCATTTCATTGTCTTTCTGCTTCACCGCCCCCCCCCCCCCCAACTTGTTTTCATTCAATTTAAAATGGCCGCTATCATCCAATCATTTGCAATCAGTGAATTCCAGTAAAGTGAATTCTAGTCAACAATTTTTTTACTGATTACAAACACTACAAATATAGCTTTATACCCTTTATAGTTTATTGAACAACACAACTTTTTATCAAAGACATAATGATTGAACATGTCATGCAAAATGAATTACATTAGCATTAAATAATCCCAACAAAAACGAACAGGCTATGGTGTGATATTTGTACATAAACTTTTAATTTACCATATTATTAAAATAACAATTTCATTCTAGTGCAAAATAAAATTTACAATAAATAAAAAAATCTTTTAAAACAATGTATTACAATCTAATGAGACAAATGTATTTAAGGTTTCTGTAAATTAAATTTAGATCACAAGCTAGCATTAACAATGTTAAAATAGATTGGAACATTTGAAAAGAAAAAAAGAGACAAAAATATGACAAGGTCCTCTTTCTGGTATTTTGAGGGATATAATTTTCTTTTAATGAAATGAATCATACTTCATGTAAAATGTGTGCGAAAAGTTGCGAGATTATTTGAAAACAAACAATTATGATTTTTATGAATGTTAAAAGTTTTAATCAAGATCAACTTGTGACAGATTCCTCTGTTCTGTACTGGGTGTCACGGGGGTCATTGCAGGGGTCATAGCAGGGGTCATAGGGCTATTTTCCTCTCCGTCCTCGTTCCCAAGTAAACTTTGTATCAAATTACCTGGTTAAAAAACAAATTATAACATACAGTTAACTAAAACATGACCTTATTTGCAAGTTAGTCAACACGATTTTAAAGCTGTAATTACTTCTCTGGTAATATCATACATTTACATAAATGTGTTACTAAATATGTTTTATGTAAATGATAACAAGCCTTAAACATATAATATTCTGGATGATGTCAGAGGTCAAACAAAATAGTAACTGCTTAGATAATTAGAGGTGAATAATCACAGTAGATTTTACAAAACCAACATTTTTTTAGAGTGCCATGGGTCTGGCAGTCAAGGAACTAGAAATGTGTCCACAGGACACAGATGGGACACAGGACACAGATGCCTCCAAATTCCACTGTTTTGTCAGTCTACGAACTAGGACAGTGACTGTAGGACAGGATGAACAATGGGACAAGGGCAAATCTATACGCCCCCCTCGGGAAGTGAGGGCATGTAAACAATACTTTGGACCTCAAAACATAATAAAGACCTCCATGTCAACCTCAAACAATGCCTTTGGCTTCTGACCTGTAACTGTTTGCAGGCCAAATGGTTCATCCTTTTTCAATAATGCTCATTCCCTTAATGTACTATTTCTTAAATGGTAACAAAACTGTCAAGCAAGAAAGACCTGGCAGAGAAAATCCTTACCAAAAAATCCACCTTGAGACTGTGATTTGGGTGCAGGAACTCCAAAAAATAGCTGCCCTATCTTATCAAGGTACTGAAAATATTAAAATAAAATTATACAGAAAACAATGAAACAACAGAAGATGAAGTGCATAAACTGTGCTCCATCCAAAAAATGTACAAAGGGAGCTGTTTGTAAGTCCCAGGTTAATGCATAATGATAATGAGCAACAAAAATATAACCATAACATAAAATCATTTGTTCGGCTTCCAATAGCATTATACCAGATTACACCTGATGACATACAGACTTTTGTTTCTGTTAATTAAATATAAGCTGTCAATAACGTAGATGATAAACAAGGATATCAAATTACAGTACCTTGTTCTCCATGAAATTAAATCTGATTAACATCTAGTAAACATAACACAGTGCTTTTTCCCCCAACAATGACATGAGTTGTTTAAAGGCTGATTCCCCTCAGGAAATTTTTTTAAAACCATGCAGTTTTTCATTAAAATTCAATTGACTTTAAAGTTTTTGCTTTCTTTTTTGCATACATACGGCATTATTTTCACAAAAATTAAAGGGAAGTGCCTCTTCCCCTTCCTGTGGAAAAAGTCCTATATCATGTTAATGTATAACTAATGTTACAAGCCAGTGTCAGAATCAAAACTTCATACCTCTTTATACGTAGGGTCTCTGCTAATAGCAGTTTGATACTTTTCACACAGCACTGCAAACACAGCCAATTTTCCACTGAATAAAAGTAAACAAAAACAATAATTCAATAATTAACTTATAATTATCAAATATAATATTCATTAATAAGTCTCTAAATTCATCATGAAAATTGTGTATACAAAAGAAATGCAGCATAAAATTTAATTATCATGACTAGTGTCATATTATACCCATGTTAAGGGTTAAGGCAGTCTGCGCCTCTGTGCAGTCTGACCAAACTACTGCATTTTATTTTGTTTGACTTAAGCATTATAAAGCCAGCATACTGAAAGTGGCTGCATGGTGAAGTGGTTAACTTAGACTAGTAATATACAGATTGTTAGCTGCATGGGTTCAAGCCATTGTCTCCTTGAGCAAGAAACTTTATACTCATTCCCAAGTACAGATTGGTTCCAGGAACAGATTTGAATGTGTCTATAAGCGTAAAGCCAAACCCACCATACATGTATTAACTACAGATAATTCCATATTCAAAGCTAGACAAGACAGTTAATATAAATCTTAGGGTTTAAAAGTGTTCCAATGAATTCTATGTCTATTATGCATACAGTATAACTTTAGCAGTGGTGCAAATTTTGAGACACTAGCCTAACAGACCTGTGAAAAATTAGCATGATATCACCATATTTTTTATCACCATACATACATGTAACAAGATATTTAGCCATAATAAGGCAGTAACATTACAGAATTGTTTTTGACTTTACTTTCCACTTTATAAATTTAACATTTTCGGGCTTGTCAAAACCTGTCTGGTAAAGTACATTTTGCCCACCACTAGCCTGAATATTGGCTTGTGGTTATTTTAGCCCTAAATTTATAAATTGTGTACGAACATTATCACTGAAAATGTATGGAAATAAAAAAATATGAATGACTTACCCTTCTAATGCTAATAATAGAAACCATATAAAGTTTAATAAAGGTTGTATATATGGTGGCCCTCCTTTCACGTCAGGATGACCTTTTGTATATGTTACGAAAACTACATGAGCTGTATCCTTGTTTTGAAGGCATAAAAACCTGAAAAAGAAAGAGGAAAAAATTAATGTTGTAAAAGTAAAATTGAGCCATGAGCGCTATTACTTACTATACATGTTGTAGACATAATGGTTGTAATTGTAAGACATCTTGTGATCTATAACAAGCCTCAGAAAAGGTCCCCAATAAAATTATAAATACCATAAAATTTTAATAATTGCTGATGCTCCTCGATACCTTGAAAATCGTGTCCTTTCAAGTAAGAAAGCATAAAATTAATTATTGCCAGAAGGGAGTACCAGTCAAAATGCCACCTCCACCTCAGTGGAGTGTAAAGAAGACTCACAAAAGTTTGACATAATTGCTTAATTGATGCTTATATTATCAATATCTGTTGGACAGTATAAAAAAAATTCAGCCCTAAATCTTCCCTACAGTACTGGACTTAACAAGTGCTTTAACCCATACACAAGTAGTTTGTGCTACATATAGATTTATACTTACTGGAGTACAGTTTGTGCTATAAATAGATCCACTTCTGAAGGATATCCCTGAGAGGTTTGGTATTCTATTAACATAGTTGCAAGGTTTTTACCATCAGAGGAATGTAGATAATGATATCTTGCTTGAACATAATTTTTCTCTGAAACATAAACAAATAATTTAGTGTTAAAGTGGTAGTGGTGTTGATAGTTTTCACTCTGGATCACAGCAGTAAGCCACATTGAAATTACCAGAGCACAGATTAACAACCGCATTGCTCTGTACATGCCAGAGCAGAGGTTCAGTGAAAATGACTGTAGAAAGGTTTTCATGATCAATCACAACAAAGGTGACCTACACTGCCCGGGGATTGAACCCAGGGCAACTGATGCACAGTCATGATGTTATCTTGAGAGGTTCGGACAAATTGTATCAAGAATCAAGAAACTATATTTAATGACTTCATTCAGAGCTACATGTATGTGGGGGCATTATGCCACATACCGTCTAATCTGTGAAAACAGTATTTAAAGAGAAAGTACTACATATTTACCTTTACATATAAACCATCATGAGTATTCCCCCTTAAAAATTCTAACTCAAGTTGGCAGGAGTTACTTACCCTGCCAGAACAACATGCCACATTTTTTATGAAGATCTGGATGCCCTGCTCGACATTCAGGTGCTACACTGATTGTCCAGCGTAATGCAGCATTTAGATAATTCAATCTGTCAGGACATTCATTATTGTCCATTATACGAAGTAAATCTACAACTTTATCTGAAAAACAAAAGTTCTTTTGCTATTGATTTTAATTTACATGCCCAAAATCCATAAAAAATGTCAGCTAATCATTTTACTAATCCCCTGTTTTAATATAAACAAAATGTAATTCCAAAACAAATTATATTGTTTGTTTTTTTGTTTAAATATATATTCACTATTAACTGAATAGAGTAAGAAACTTCTTAGACAAACATAATTGCTGTTACAAGTTTTACGACTAAAAGAATTCTCTTATGAGACCTTCACCTGCCCACTACATGTACATGCCTTATAAAAGTTCCCTTTATAAGTCACAGGAAACCTTGCTTGAATAGAAAAACAAATGTACCAAGAGGATGATGATGACTCTTCACTGCTCATATTTCCTTTAAAGTTTTGACCTTAAAACTAATCAGAACTTATTTTTGTCATGGCCAACAGGTTTCAGAAAATTTCACTTTTTATATACACAATTTCTACCTAAACAAAGACACGTCAAAAATTCATAAACACTCATGAATCATTTCACCTAATATCTTCCTGTTATCAAATAGTTCTAAGTAGATAAGTCAATCTACATGTACTACAAAAAGTACAAGTTAAAACAAAACCACTTTTTCTTGACACTTTGCATTCACCAAATTTTCCCAGTGAAAAGTTCCTCGTTTCATACTACACATGTATAAAGTTTTCAGTAGATTGTTAATCTCTTCAAATGCCAGCAATAATAACAAAAATATTTTGTCACTACGACACTAGTATAGAATCAGGCCTGGCTTTGATGATGTCTGACCAGACGCTATTCTGTTAACTGATATAATTTTATAACTACGTTATTAAAACCCCTTAAAAGCACACTTGACAGTTTTGAATTTAAATCATTTATAATACATGAAAATAGGAGTGATATAATTAAAGAAAATTATATATGTACATTCCTTGAAATTATTCTGAAATCTGGCAAATAAGTATATAGTCTTTTAGTTTTACTCATTCATATTCATTAAGTCTTGCAAGTCTGTCTTTTGACTTTGATGACACTTTACAACTTTTCAGTTCTTTTTGCTCAAGTTATCATAAGTTATGTCTTAAAATATCAAACATTAATATATATTTCATTCTTTTGTTTATAGTTTGATTCAATGTTGTTTTAAGTAATTGTCTGTGTAAATGTATGTATATAAAATGATTGTTCAAATGTCTCAGGAAGATAGGATAATTAGGATTTATGCGATAGAGTTGCCTTTGGGAAATAAGTATATTTATTTATATACATACCTGTATTATCTTCAGATACCGGGGTCTTGGCTGTGTTTAACACATCTATAAGTAGTAAGGCTAAATCAGTTCCACTGCTATACTGTAATAAAATTTTACCAGACTCATAAATCTCACATGAAAAAGGTGTATTATCATTTAGAAAGTTCATAAAATATGGTAACAAATGAAGTTTGTTATTACTGAGCAGATACTCAACTGAAACAATGTCTCCTATAAATGAAATTGTGTGTGTACAGTTATCAGAGACAGAAAATTCTACTTATCAGCTCTACTTATCAGCTCATTAGGACATGAGCTGTCAGAAGGATAGCGTGCTTCACTATTCTTAGTGCTTAATATTAAAAGAGAGCCTGGATAATGTAGGAGTTTCTAAGTTAAAAAATGCTATAATTCTGTCAAAATGACAGTGACCCTGACACCAACACCTGGGTGAGTACAATAGCTCTCCCTATTCTTCGAACAGTCCAGCTAAATATGTAAATTATGTGCATTATATTTCTGATGGGTCTGAAATTTTGACTCCTTTGGCAAACTAGCTACACATATCCCCTCCAGCCTTATACAAACAATCATACATAATTACCTGTTTATGATGTAGTAATGTTTGTGATCCATTATATAGTAGATCTATTGCTTCAGCATACTTCTTTGCTCCACTGTACCTATAAAATATTAAACAAACCAATGTACTAAAAAAATAGTCTGCTTATCAATACGGAGGATAGCAGCCAATCTAGCTATTTCAATTTTACTACCTTTTTTTCATGTTCTTAATCTCCCGCATACCTTATTCTAATCATGTCATTTAGCTGCAAAATGATATATAACTTAATATGATTTACATAAAAAATGACTTTGCAATTTTGACTTATACTGGACTAGTGGCATTCTGCTGATTTGGCGAGTTCAACCCCTTGCCTATATATTACATATAAACTATATTTTTTCCTAGAATTACTTTTTTACACTATCCAAACATTGTGCCGGGTCCCTTTGCTTTGGATGAGATAGATGTTTAACAATAATTTTGGGTGAAACTTGCTGACCCGCTTTTGCCCACCCCCAAGTCATAGTGTTTGTGGATGCAAGAGACCCGTTTTATAATAAGATTCATTATTGAACTGTCATTATTCATAAAAAGTATAATTCTCATAAACGAACCAGTCCTACTGTATCGAAATATGACGTGTGCTTTAGTTTAAAATAATTCTGATGAAACATATTAGAATTAACTGATACACTGTCTGGTTATAAAAATCATACAAAAATTAATGAACAAATAATAACAACCTAAAGTACAACGTGCGATACATCTGGTGAGCTTCGTAAAAGTTGCCGGAGTCTATACATTTTTGACATTTTGCGAGAACTCTCTGTACGCCGGCTGCCATTTTGGATTATTTCCACTCGATGAACTGAAAAACGAAATGAGACAAATGAAACGGAAGGAACAAATTCAGAGTAAACACTACTATCTACGTGCGGCTCATTGCATCCTTAGACTGCATCAAAAATTCTTTTAGATGATGATCAGGTGCGTGTCTGGTCGAAAATAAAGACCCATTATTAGCACCATAAGCAGGACATGCTTTCCTGGTAAAAAATATGACTAGAATGGCGGAGACCTTGCAATCTTGGGATGTCCAGGAATGAAAACTTTTTAAATATGCATGACAAGCATGTTACTATAAATATAAATTATGAAGTTTGAAAAAAATCAAAAACGTATTCATCTAAATTTGAAGTAATCTAACCTTAAACTTTTGTAAATTTAGAGAACCACAGAGATGTAGGTCTATATTGCACGTGTTAGTCTTTAAAAGACGAATTATCGCATGTGTACAAAAAATTTGCAAAACATTTAAAGTTCTGGAAAAGTGGAGATCCATCGAGAGTATAATGAAAACAAAGCAAATCAATTAATTCTGGGAAATACAATATTATTGTCACATATATAAACATGCATATAAAACACACAAAAATGCAACGATTAAGTAGTATGTTTTATGTTACCCACAAATTTTCCATAAAGTTAAAAACTGAATTATTTCCAATGGGGTCCATTTACTAGTTGTATCATTGACTCAATTTTATAATAATAAATGAATTACTATGAAGTTAAAATTATTGAAAAATTCGTGCCAACATTTAAGTACAATCAAGACGATTTTTCGATATATAATGAGACAAATACATTGTACATAAACAAACTTAAACAAAATCCGTATAAACTAATACATTACGAAATACAAATCAAGATGTAAAACATTATCACATAATTTTCCAATCAATTAAGTAATATTTCAACATATAATTCACGCTTTTGTTATTTTCATTATTTAGGAAAAGTTTAACTTTCGTTTGGCTATTTACGATTGCGTTTATTTAAGGTCGCCGCCGGAAAGCCCATATGGGCGACCGTACACTCAAGTCGGGCCATCCTAGAGCATCCCGCCGAGATTTTTTCGTCGATTTTTTCCAGCTTTATTGGTGGAGGAAGACCCTAAGTGCCCCTTCGGGCATTATTTCAGGCACGAGCGGGCACCTGGGTAGAACCACCGACCTTCCGTAAGCCAGCTGGATGGCTTCCTCACATGAAAGATTTTGACCCGAGTGAGGATCGAACTTACAACGGTGAGGGACCTGTGATTTCAAGTCAACGACCACGTAGGCCCCTAATGGTTGCAAATTAATGCATAAACCTTTATACAATTTCTGTAATTAAAGTCTCTGATAATTGTAGACAATAGAAATGTATCATTTGGATATTCTTATAAAATATTAAAGAAAACAAAAACAACATACGCGCGCGCACGCACGCACGCACACACACTATTGAAAAATAGTAAGAGATTTAGTTTAAACACTAATTTGATGAATAAACAAATAGTCAGAACAATTTATTATCTGCTTTTCAAAGATGTAAGTTGTATATCGTATCATGTATTTCACGACTTATCAACAACATTTATATAATTCTTTCGTGGATTGGTGTCACGTATGATACTACATAATATAACATCAACATAAAATATTTATGGTAATATAGACCTACATGAAGCTTCCACCATGCACCAATTCAATAGTTTATTGAATTATTTGTTGAATATATCTGGTATCTCGTACTTATGTCGATGCCTTTAGAAGCATTGATCAAATATATGTAGGATAATTAAAAAGTATTTTGAAATTTCAAAAAGTTAAGGAATTTCCCTTAAATTTACCATTGCATTTTTATTGCAGGAAAATTGTACTGTCCCTGATTGAATTTTAAAATGGTCAATAATATCTCAGACGGATTAAATATACGTATTAAATGGATCTTTTTCATATTCTTGAAATGTTTGAATGGTGTAATTATAGTTTTAAACCATTTAATATTAAATCGTTCCGTTTCGAAATATAAATTCTTGTTGTTACAATGATTTGGTGGGCGAATGTTTTCAATTTATTTGGTGGTGTGTAACCTTAAACTTAGCCTAGAGTGATTTCCCCTTTGCATCGTCTTGGCAACGAGTCATTAGTAACCAAGGCGGCAACATTTGAATAGAAGAATAGCTTTGAAAGCTGAATTTACATTTGAAAATAACAGTACAGACAAGTTTCAGTAACTGTAAGTATATCTAGTACAGTTTATTATACTTCATTAACGGCTTTGTGAGTATAAAAGAGAGCTTTTATACTGTAATATAGTGAAATATCATAATTTCGGATCCATTTATTCAGTAAAATATCTTTAGGTGCTTTTGTGTATCTTCGGCCGTCGGGTGACCTTAATTCGCCACTGTCTAGAATTAACACTATTTCTGCTTATCTCACAAAGTCTTGTCATATGATCGTAAAGAAAGAAAACAATTGAATACAGGGTTTTCCCTAGGATTTTTGGGAACATGACCCATACCCATGGAATTGGGAATTTCAGCGACATTTTGTTAAAAAGTGGGGGAAAAATGCATGACTTTAAATTTTGCAGTGATTAAATGAATGCAAAGACTCACTTTCTAGGATGGCATCTTCAAAACTTTAAGCACCATAACAGTGAAGAAGCCCTTATTTTAGAATTTGTTATTCATATTTTTATTTTGTAACTTTCAATTGGAAATTTTTTCCTGTGGATTGCGAAAATAATGTACTATTTTCCATTGGGAATATGACCCAATATAGGCTATAAAATAAGCCAAAATAATCCCTGGAATATTAACATAACTCACTTATTGACATATTTTATTCAGCATATAGATTATAGAGTGCTTGCATAAAAATATATGATAGTTTATCAAACTAGCATTGCGAAAATGCTGAGAGTAACGAATCATGGCCACCTTTAGATACATAAGCCCATACTATATTGTCAGGCATATCTGTAAAATTTTTACAAAAATTGAATTGATTATTAATTAATATATTATAAGGAGTAGATCTAGATCTAGTATACTTTCAGGGCCGGCAAAATCTGATTTTGACTTACTTAATTGTCCGTTTTTATGTAAAGCATTTTTTAACTTGTCCATATGATATTTACATAGTTTGTTCTTAAAAATTTTCACTTGTGCGTACAGGCTGTGGGACAACCTGGGCAATTTATTTTGCGGGCCCTGACTTTAGCATGGGACTTTATATTATCGACATTCTTAACTTTTCTATACATGTATGTCTGCATTTCAATGTTTAATTAAACATTTATATCAGAGACATAGATCTACATCTCTGTGAAGCAGAACAATCTTAACTAAACATTCAATGTTTTATCATGACCGCACATGACACAATAATGAGAGTATGTCTGTAACAGTGTTTTGTTGATAATACAAGGTTCGAGTACTGGCTGGGGACTATCAAACCAGACAATCACCAAACCGGACAGCCCTGAAAATGCCTGATTTAGTTTTTTTCTTTGTCCAGTGGTTATTGGTCTATCAGCCGCTTGTTATAAACATTAAATGCATATTTCTTCTATAAGTTATAACTCGAGTACTTAAATTTATTTCACTGACTTTCGTAAATGGTGATATTTTAATGTCTATTTCAAGAATGTTGACATTGACAATTTGGACATTAAGAGTGCAATACCTGACCTCTTATAGTAGTTATAATCATTTGCATCTAGTAAACAATAAAATATCCAAAACTTCAGCATTTGTTGCTGAAATATTGTATATCATGTTGAAAATAAAAATTAAAACAAAAAAAAAAGTTTTTATCTGAATAAAATCAATGTCATGCACATATCTTTCCAGACACATGGTACTGTAGTAGGGACAATTTAGATTAAATTGATACTTTTCTTGACAGCCTAAGATGTAAGTGTCAACATAAATAGAAATAAACAAACTAGTTTGTTAGTTATGAGAAGAACCTAGCAGTAGCTATACTTTGTCAAACTTGAAGATATCTAGCTTTAAAGTTATGAAATGTGAATGAGAAAAATGTTCAAAAAGTGTCCGGTTGATGATCCCCAACCAGTATATAATTATGTTTACATAATTTTGAAGTAATTTAATAAGCTTTAAATGGGCAATACTAGTTTAGCAGACTCCTGTCTTTAGATAAACAAGCACACTGCTTAAATATGGGCTGCCACTCTTATACCTGGCAAATAACATATATTTGTTTATAAAGCTTCCTTAAAGTTTAGAATATAAACCCTACTGGTTTCCAAGCAGTTTCCGACGCCAAATTGCACTTTTAACAAATAAAAAAAATCTGCCTATTGACAAATACAAAACTTTGACATAATTCAAACACAGGTACCTGTCCAGCATTACCTTGTTTCCGATTTTGCTGTTATACTTTACTTTATAATTTAAATATGGCCAAAAATGCAACAACATTTTTTTTGCTTTTATTTAAAATTTTATAGCAGTATTCTGGACATTTCTCATTTTGAATATAATTTGGGACCTGTAACGGTATACAATGTGACTTTATGAAAGAAATATAATTTTCCAACCTTTTCTGTATAGTCTGCAAGTATATTGTGAATGGTGCCTGTGCCCTCAATTATTATGCATGAGGATTCAGACTGGAATTAACTTGAATTAACTGAAGGTAACTTTGAAACTATAGGCAAATCTTCAAAATATATAAACAATCATCAATAGAATGTACTTCACCACAGGACTAGCTGGTGTGGAAATATGAATTTTTGCCACTTGCCCATGAACAAGTTGGGCAGAAATTTTTAATTGTTCTCATTTTAACTTTACTTGCCTGTATCAAAATACAAAACATTGGCAATATGTTTTAACGAGAGTTACTGAGAGGTAAAAGTGCACTTTCATTGTAGGGTGTGCCAGGAAAAGACCAGACATCATTTCACTAGTTTGAGGAAACAATCTACAAATTTTATAAGGCATGTGACGTGTCGCATGTAACTGAAAAAGGATTTGACCTAGAGTCATGAAACTTTACAGGAATGTTGATCAGCATGTGTAGTTGTGCACCTGG